CCAAACTAGTATCGTGAGCGCTCCACAACAAAACGGTCGTGTTGAGAGAAAACACCGACATATTTTAAATATCGCTCGTGCCTTGTAATTTCAAGCATCTTTACCTATCGAATTTTGGGGAGAGTGTGTCCTTAGTGCTGCCCACTTGATAAACCGGACACCCACTCCCCTATTGCATGGCCTCACGTCTCAAGAAAAATATTTTCTAGAGCACACTCTTCAGCATATTCGCACGTTTGGGTGTTTATACTATGCACATAATAAAGATCGCTCCAAAGACAAGTTTGCACCTCATGGTAGAAAATATGTGTTTTTTGGTTACCCCCATGGACAAAAAGGTCGGAAGGCCATGGATCTAGAAGTACATAGCCTCTTTTTATCTAGAGATGTTCAGTTTGATGAAAAAGTATTTCCATATGCATCGTCTATGGAAAAATCTACTTTGTTCCATACGTCTGATTGGAATTATGAAACTTATGAAAATGAACTTTCTAGTTCTCCACTGATGGAGTCAGGGGGAGCAGCCCCAGCCCCAGTTGATATCTCACCGGAACCGTCTGTCAAACCCAATTCCCCAGAACCATCTGTTGAGCCCAACCCCCTAGAACCATCTGTTGAGCCCAACCCCCTAGAACCATCTATCCAGACCTCTACCTCGACACTTTTGGTTCAAAATCCCGAGCAGCCTCTCGGTTGTGGTCTTCGTTGTCGCCAACCACACCAACATCTTCTGGTACACGGTTCTCTTTAGCTAATTATATTTCTTGTCACAATTTTTCAAAGTCTCACATCAAATTTGTAGCTGTTGTTTATGCTGGGTTTGAACTTCGTACATTTAATAAGGCTGTACAAGATCCAAATTGGCGTCAGGCAATGCAAACCGAAATTGATGCTCTGGAGCGTAACAACACTTGTGCTATTTCTGAACTTCCGCCTGGCAAAAAACCCACTAGTTGTAAATGGGTTTACAAGCTCAAGTATAATTCAAATAGATCAATCAAACGGTACAAAGCTCGAGTTGTGGTTCGCTGTGATACTCAAGTGGCAGGTATTGATTATGACGAGACGTTCTCTCCGGTAGCTAAACTAGGAAGTGTACGGACGTTTTTTGCCGTAGCCGTAATTAAAAGTGGGAGATCAACCAACTCGATGTAAATAATGCATTTCTCCATGGCGATCTACGTGAGGAAGTTTATTGCGTCTTCCACCAGGTTTCTCTTCGTCTCACACTGCGCCAATCGCATAGAAATTGGTTTGCCAAACTAGCTGCCGCTCATCGCCGTTATGGTTTTCTCCAATCTCATGATGATCATACATTATATACTTATCGTAACGGTGATATTTTTCTCCATTTCCTTGTCTATGTGGATGACATAATTGTGGCAGGAAACAATACCCACACGTGCAAGGTCTTTAAAACTTATCTGAACGATTGTTTTAAACTCAAAGACCTTGGACCCCTAAAGTACTTCCTTGGCATTGAAGCAACACGTAATACTTATGGCCTTTTCTTGTGCTAACGAAAGTATACACTTGATATTTTGAAAGAAGCGGGTCTCACAGGTGCAAAAACGGCTATTACACCAATGGAGAAAAATCACAAGCTCTCTATCGCCACAGGGCGTATTCTTCGCGAACCGGATCATTCTCGCCGTTTAGTTGACCGACTTGTCTATCTCTCTATCACTCGATCCGATATTTGTTACGCCGTACACATACTTACTCAGTTTCTGCAAGAACCTCGACAAGAACATTTAGATGTTATATATCGTGTCCCCCCGTTATTTGAAAGGTTCTCCGGGGCAGGGTATTCTTCTTCGGTCCGATAGCTCTCTTCAGTCATACGCATTTTGTGATGCTGATTGGGCCGCTTGTCTCAAGACTCTTCGCTTTCTCACGGCGTACTACGTGCAGCGTGGACATCTGCCATATCTTGGATAACGAAGAAGTAACCAACGGTTGCCCGTTCATCCGCCGAGGCAGAATTTCGAGCTATGGCTATGACCACATGTGAGCTTACTTGGCTCAAATCTTTTTTGGCCTCTCTAATTAGTGTGTTTCATACACAACCCATGCGTCTTTTTTTGTGATAATCAAGTCGCTTTACATATTGCGTTGAACCCAGTCTTCCATGAGCGCACCAAACACATTAAGGTAGATTGCCACTATGTTCGAAAACAGTTGCTTGTTAGTTCTATTGCGACGTCGTATCTTCCATCGTCTCAGCAACCCGCTAATATCCTTACTAAAGCTCTTGGTCATCAACGGTTTCAAATCTTACCACGCAAGTTAGGAGTCATTAATCATTACTCTCCAACTTAATGGAGAGTATTGATGTAAATAATATGAATTTGGTAGATCATAAAATCTCAAATATTTCGTGGTTTTGTATCTATAGAAAGTCTTGTAATAGGATCAATTGTAAAGGCATTCTTTTGCATATATATTAGTCTGCTATTCAATGAATATACCCATCTTTTCCCACTCAATAATTATATTTTTGTTATTGCACGTGTGCAATGCTAGAAACTGTTTTGCTATAAATGGACCTTTAGGTCGTCGGGATATTCTTAGAGACTTATACATATAAGGGTAAGTTAGAATTTCCGTTGATGCCCGTCTACACCCCTGATTTTTTTGGGGTTATTCACGGTTTTAATAAAGAAATAAGTTTATATAGGTAATTTTTGATTAAAAAGTATAAATTTTAATAGTATTAAATGATATTTTAATAACTAATAGAAAGAATACAAATCTAATTATACATAGTGGAGTAGAGAAGATAATTTTTTTAGGAAGGGCAAAATCTCATACTTATAAAGTAATGTGTAAAAACATAATTAAAATAAAATTAGATATCATATTAATTATGGGTAAATTCCACTTTCCCCCCTTCTACTTTGGCTCGATATCACTTTACCATTTTCTACCCTCAATTGCATCGATTTGTTCCCTTGTACTTTGACTCGATATCACTTTACCCCCTTCTACTCTCAATTGCATCGATTTGGCCCCTTGTACTTTGGCTCGATATAACTTTACCCCATTCTACTCTCAATTGCATCGATTTGCCACACTGTACTTGAAAAATTGTCTCAATGTGGCCCTCGCCGTTAGTTTTCACACCTCTGACCTTAACACCGTTTGATCTAAGTTTGAAATTACAAAAAACTCACCCCTCCCAGTTTAAGTAATTATTAAAAAAATAAAGAAAAAATAGGATATATGAGGGTATATTGGGCAATTTAAATTTATGAGAATGGTTGTATCAAAGGAAAGGGGTTCTCTCAAATTTAAAAAAGATAGGGGTTGTCTCTTACACGATTTCCTCAATTGAGGGGGGTCTTGCTAATTTTCTTCTTTTTTTTCACGTCTCAATTAATCTATGACATTCGGTTTCCTATTAAATTAGGCCACTCTAAATTTGTACCCATTTTTATTTCAACTAGCTTTTTTTTGGTACGATGCACATGATAACGTTTCAAAAGTGAAAATGATGATTAGTTTAATAAATAACAATAATAATTATAAAAAAATATTAATGATATTGATAACATTAATATTTATACAAATCTAATAATACAAACTCATTCCGAAAAAAACAATTATTCTCATAATATGAAATTGATCATTAGATAAATGAAGGAAATAAGGATTAGATTAGGGGTGGCAATCGGGCCATGTGAGCCGGTCGGCTCAAGCTCATATACAATCGGACCTCATCATTATAGGCTCAAGCTCAAATATCATCTGGTCTCATGTTATAGACTCAAACTCGGCTTACATATTTTTTCAGATTTATATGGGGCGATAAATAAATTACATATTTTACAACTTTCCAGTTAGATATGTTAAAAGAAAAACAAAAACAAAAAATTGCAATCTAAGAGAAAAATATAAAATACTCATTGAAACTAAAAATAAGATTAAAAAAGACCATAGTATGTTCATTAAAACAAATGAAGTTTAATGTTGCAAATATTTAAACCTTAGTTAATTATATGAAAAAATGCATCCGAGTCCAAAATAAAAAAAAAAAACCTAAAATAAATAGAAGCAATTCGAAATGTCCTCCCAACTCTTTTCGAAAATCTTGAAACCTGAGGGGAAAAAAAAAAGACAACGAATATATATATATATATATATTTTTTTTTGTCTCCTATTTTGCAGTAACCTTTTTTTTTCTAATTACTTTCGACTAGTACAATCCTAATTAATATCAGCAATTGAACTGGGCCTACCTGAAGCCCGATAGTTCGGCCCGATTTTATTTGAGTCGAGCCCGATAATTGTGAGTCGGGCCAAGTTTTAGCCACTTCATTAAACACGGGTAAAATGTATATATATATATATATATATATATATATATATATATATATATATATATATATATATATATATATATATATATATATATATATATATATATTATAATTATTAATTTAGTCGGAC